GACCCATGAAATCTATTCCCTGAACATGAAAATTTTCGACTACTAACATATTACTCATGGGCATTTCATATTTTCTTACTCATGTTACCTATAGATTGACATGAAATATGTGTTCTACTAAATTCTATAGAATCTCTAATGATTGTAGGCTAAAAAAAACTACACTGAATTTTTTTTGCAACTTTTTTTCGTCCAAAGAAATGTCCTCCTTAGTTAGATGAATGGCACATGTTAATAATGTTATGATATTCTTCTTCAGGAACACATCTCCTTAAAATTTGATCATTGCCCAACTAATATAAATCAAGATCATGCCAAAAATAATTTCTAATCTTAGAAAAGAAATGATGTTTTCTATTCTTATCTCACTATTCTAGAATTTTTCTAGAAATCAGAAAATTAACAATATGTGCATACCATGGTGATGGTTGATGTTGAGATGCCATCAATTGTTCATCTAGAAATGTGTCTTGTAAAGGTTCTACATTTATTCTTGTATCACTTAATCTAGAAAGATGGTCAGCAAACAACATTCTCAAAACCTTTTTTATCTTTTATTTCTAAGTCAAATTCTTACAACAATAAATACATCTTAATAAACATGGCTTTGCATCTTTCTTATTTAACAAATATTTTAATACTACGTGATCAGTATAAATAATAGTTTTAGCTCCCAAAATATATGATTTAAACCTTTCTAATAAAAATACTACAACAAACGACTCTTTTTTGATCGTGGTATAATTTAATTGAGCATTAGATATAGTTTTACTAGCATATGAAATTACTATGGGTTTTGACTCTTTTGTTTGTCCTAGAACGGTCCCCACTACATAATTCAATGCATCACACATTATTTCAAGGGGAAAGGACTAATCAAGAGCTTGTAAAATGAGTGTCTCAATAAGTAATCTTTTTATTTCAGAAAAAGACTCAAAACATTTCTCATCAAAATTAAAAGGCACATCTTTAGATAATAACATGGTGAGAGGTTTAGAAAATTTTGAAAAATCTTGAATAAATTTTCTATAATAACCTACATGACCCAAGAAAGATCTAATCTGTTTTATTGAATTTAGAGGTTTCATTTTAGATATAATATCAATTTTTGCTCTATCCACCTCTAAACTATTTTCACTCACAATATGACTCAACACAACTCCCTCTCTAACCATAAAATGTGATTTTCCCCAACTCAAAACTAATTTTTTCTCTATACATTTCTCAAGTACATGCTATAAATGATTTAAACATTCATCAAATGATTCACCAAAAATAGAAAAATCGTCCATAAGAATTTTCATATATTTTCTTGTCATATCAGAAAAAATAGACAACATACATCTTTGAAATGTGGCTAGATAATTACACAGACCAAAAGGCATGCATTTAAAAGTAAAAGTACCAAATGGGCAAGTGAAAGTTATTTTTTCTTGATCTAAAGGGTTTATATAAATTTGATTATAACTAGAGTATCCATTTAGACAACAAAAAAAGTTTTTTTCAACTAATTTTTCTAGAATTTGATTAGTAAATGGTAGGGGAAAATGATCTTTTCTAGTAACTGAATTTAATTTTCTATAATCAATGCAAACCCTCCAAGTGTTAGTTAATCTTATTTGTATTTCATCCCCATTTTTGTTTTTTATAAACGTGATCCCTGGATTTTTTTGGCACCATTTGTATAGGACTAAGCCATTTTCTAGTTGAAATAGGATAAATAATATCAACAACCAACTACTTTAAAATTTCTTTTTTTACAATTTCCATCATGTTAGGATTTAATCTTCATTGTGGTTCCCTGCTAGTCCTAGCCCCCTCCTTTAGATATATATTATACATGCATACACTCATATCAATGCCTCTTAGATCATTCATTTTTCACTCAATAGCCTTCTTATTTTTTCAAAGTACATCTAATCATTCTTCTTCCTATTCATCACTCAAATCAACTACAATAATAATAAGAAATGAATTATTTTCCTCCAAAAACATATATTTTAAACTAGAGGGAAGAGGTTTCAACTCTAAATTCAGATGATCTTCCTCTTTCTTTTCTCTCAAATTTATATTCTCTACTTCCTCTAATTCTTCCAGCACATAGTCATCAATAACATCTGGATCATGAAAATCATCTAGAAGATCTATGGTATGTTAATCATATACTTGGGATTTCTTAAGATCATTTGCTACCTCAAAAATTTTAATTTCTACTGATTGATCTCCATATAAAATTTTCGTATTACCTATGAGAAAATCAATATTCATCTTTGTTGTATGCAAAAATGATCTTCATAGGATGATTGGTGTATCATAAAACTATCTATTAAAATCCATTTCCAGCACTACAAAAACAACTAGAAATTTACACCCTTTAACTGTCACTATCATATTTTCTAAAATATTTTTAGGATGTTTTATGGATCTATCAACAAATTGTAAGGTAATAATGGAAGGTTTAAGATTAGTAATATTAAATTTATCACAAATACTTGGAGGTAATAAATTAAGACTAGCATTAGTGTCAAGTAATGTATTTTGAAAAATGGATCCACCAATACCACCCAAAATTAAAGGGGCACCCATATCCCTCAATTTATATGGTAATTGATTTAATAATAAAGCACTAGTATGTATAGATAATTTTTCTACTCTAGGTGCTCTTTTTGGTGTATACATTTCTTTCAAAACTTTAACACTTTTAGGAATATGTTTAATGGTAGTGAGTAAAGGAAGATTAATTTACATATCTTGTAAAATTTTCTTTATTTCTTCATTGTGTTCCTTTTTCTTTCTTTGTCTAGGCTCTAGAGCTTTAGGAAATGGAATGGTTGTCCTCTCTTTTGAAATTTCCTTGGTAGAATCTATAAAATCTTCTTCTACTCCTATTTGATTTTGTTTTGGGCTGTCTATCTTTTCCTTTTCTTCTAATGTTTGGGGAAAGGATCAAGTAAGATCTTACCACTTCTTAATGCATTCACTATTCTAACATTTTTATTTCGTGGGTTTTTCCTAGATTCATGCTACTAGACTCCCCTCACTGAAATCCTATTGTTGGACAGTTCCTTAGATTTTCTAGGGGCTGACTAAGTAGTTGTCCCTCTTCTCTCTTATTCCCAAGAGCCTCTATAATTTATTTATGTTGAAGCATCATTTGATTCATAATTTGTTGCATCATTTGGCTCATTTGTTGCATCATTTCTGTAATATCAGATTGGGTTTGAGAGGGCTGATTTTTTTGAAATCTGTTTTTTTATTTTAGATGAAATTCAGAGTTTGAATTAGGTCTAAGTGCTTCTAGATTTTAAATATTATTTGGGTCTCTCCATGAAAAAATACTCCTCTAATTAGAATTATAAGAATTTCACACTTTAACACAAATATAAGTCTATTTATCATGAGTTAAGGCTAAAACTATATTATTTACTAATTATTAACTCATGATAATAAAAACTTATAAACCCCACCAGACTCAATTTAGGCTTTATAGTCCCTTTAGGATTTAGAGTCTTCTCTTAGACTACATTAACTTCTATCGTAATTATTTTCTATTATTTGAATAGTAATCTCCATATATCTTCACTATAGTCTAGTTTCTAGTAATAGATTTTATGGTAATTATGTGTATTTATAGTCTTTTTGTGAATGATGTTAAAATTTGGTTGGTGCATTGTTGAGTTTAATTTATTCACTTCTTATATGTTCTTATGTTTGTCTTTTCTATTATAAGTTGTAATTCTTTCCCCTTGTGGTTGTGTTAGTCTTCCATTATAGTTTTTTAATGTAGGCATCTGACTTCTAATTAGTCATTGGTGGGTTCAAATCACATGAAGCGTGTCTTTTCCTACACTATTATTCTCTCCTTAGCTTCATTTTATCCATTTTATACCCTCATACATTGTTTCTTCATATGTATGATAACAAGAAATAAAGGTTAACTAAATAAAAATATTCAATATTTGAGGACTACATATGAATAAATATGTCTAGAGATGTTCATATAAAACACTTGGAAAACACCTAATTATACTTCATTGACTTTTTTGCATTTATTTCCTTCATAAGAAATTACAATCCAAACTTGAATTTTTTTTGCAAATATATACATATATATATATTACACACACTATATTCAAGCAATTTTTTTCAAAATGGCATTGCTAAAAATAACAAGAGTATCACATTAAGAGTGCACAATATAAAGCCTTCTATTATAGTGGATAAAATTTATCTCACAAGGTAGTATAATGTATAAAACATATCTCTACAATAATATTTTAACCAAATACTAAAATTATTATTTATAATAATCAGGTGTGTATTTAGTGTATCTACTAACATTCAAGACATCTTCTCTACCCTCAATAGAGATATTTTAATTATTTCTACTTGTGTTGCTTTAGATTTTTTTATTTTAGCTCTTGGTAAGAAGTGAGCTGACTTATAACATCTAACACGTAAAGCACTGTAGTAAGAAATAATACAAAATATTGTTTGGGTGATAAGGTATAAGAAATTATGTACTCAATATTCATTTACTAATGAATAATAATTGAGATACAAATTGAAACAGCCAAATTTAAAAAACCCACACACACACAACTCATCACGTGCATGTCACGCACCGACGGCTATTACCTTACACTAACGTTAGAAATCCCTCTGTACGACTCTCTCTCTCTCTTCCCCGCTCACTCTGGGATAAACAACCTGTTAGTTCCTTTCGGGTGTGGTCGGGGCGGGAGTGCATCCCTGCGTCCCACGTGTCAGGTGGATGCGACGAAGATCCTTCCGGAAAGTCCGCTGCACAAGCTTGCCGCTCCGCGGTATTTGGATACCCCGCACGCCCGCAACTGCCCTGCTCTACAGTTGAGTTCCCGCCAGGGCCCAGCCCGCCAACGTTCAAACTCTCCTCTTCTCCCTATATCTCTTCCTCCTCTTCTCCCTCCACCTCTCCATCCTCTTTTCTCCCGGCATCGTCTTCCCCGAGGAAGCTGAGGATGGCGGGCTTCCACGGGCGACAGGGCTTCCACCGCCGCCACGCCCACAGACAGTGGGGTCCCCCGCCGTCTCCTCCCCACTACGGCGGCTTCTCTGGTTACGCTCTCCCTCCCCCGTATCTCTCCCCCATTTACCAGCCGGGATGGAGCTATGGCCCCCCCCAGCCCATGCCTCCCGCTCCTTCTCCTCCTCCGAGTACTCCTCGTCTGGGGACCGAGATCGTCACCCTCCTTCTGCGGACGCAGATCGAATACTACTTCAGGTACCCCTCTCTCCGTCTCTGTACCGATTTCGATGATCGCCGATCTTGCGCCTGGATCCATTAACGACGGACTGGAATCTGCGCAGCGAGGACAATCTGGCGAGAAACGTCCACCTGAAGATGCAGATGGACGAGGAAGGCTGGGTGAGCGTGCATACCATCGCCAGCTTTCCGAGGGTAAGCGACTGTCATTCCGACTGCTACCGCCGATTTCTCTCCCCTTGGATCTCCGTGGGGGGTTGAACCAAGGCATTTCCTCGCAGGTGAAACGGCTGACGAACGACGTGGTGCTCATACTGCGGTCGCTGCAGCCTTCTCCCACCGTGGAGGTGGAGGTGATGGTGAGTCTTCCGACCCTGGATCTGGAAACCTGATCAAACCTGTGGATTTTTTGTCTAGTTCGGCTGATGTGTGCGTCGATCTTGACTTCGCAGGATGGCAAAATGAGGAGGAGGGGGACGTGGAAAAAGTGGCTGATTCGAAGGTAGAAGGAGCCTCCTGTCGAGCAGGGTACCGGACACCAGTGGAAGCTCATTTTAATTCTACCTCCGCCTCTCTCTCTGTCTCTCTGTCTGTCTTTACCGGGGCTACGTATCGTCTCCCACCTCCTCTGTAACCTGTAAGGCCTTTTTCGCCTGTAAACCGGCCGGCGGCGCCAGGATGGCGAGGTTCTTGAATAGGTTAGAACCACAAGAGAACTCATGTAGAGGGTTTTTATGAAATTACTGTAACGGAATTGCCATGCAGGGCGAGAAAGGACCCAACCCCGTAGGATAAAAAATGGGCCGAGTAAATCGGGCCGAAGTGAATAGGTGGGTGGGTTCTGTCCGGCAGGATCGGTAAAGGATCTGTATGCCTTCCATCGAGCCTCTCTTGTACCTCCACAGTGGACCGTTCGGCAGATTGATGCAGGCTCTTGGTAAGGGGTCGTCGGTACTGTGGGCACACCCCGCCTGAAAGCTCAGCAGATCCTCTTCTCACTTGTTTCAACGCGTGCACTTTTCTCGATTTAGTTGTATGGAATTTCGAATTAAAAATACCCTCTACAAGCGTGCAAAATTTGGGGGCCACACCTGGAAAACTACTAAACTTCGTGAGCCACATTACTTTTCACCGCATGAACCATCTCTTGGTTACAGGACCTGGATTTTACCAACAAGCTCAGGAAAGGTGATCGGTCGAACCAATGCCAAAGCAATTTTCAGTGGAGCTAAATAAATCCCAATCTAATGGCCCCATTTAATTGAGTAACAAGATGCAAAGCACAAGGAGAGAGAGAGAGAGAGAGAGAGGGAGAGAGAGGGAGAAGGAGAGAGACAGAGAGAAGAACAACTAAGATCAGCTCAATTATTCAGAGATGTGGAATATGAATCACAGATTCCCATTAATCATAACATAGTTCAGCAGAGGAGGTGGGGAGATCGAGACCACTCAAGTTTGATATGTTCTCCCTCTCTCTCTCGCCCTGGGAACCCTAGACCTTATGTAAGGTAAAGGACAGAGACATGGGGAGTCAGGGGTTTTATTTTGTCTGAAATAAGGTGAAGCAGCAACGCCTTTGGAACCACTCCACATCTGAAATAAGGACTCCTATTAAAAATGTACCTCTTTCTCTCACTTTTTTTCTCTCTCTCTCTCACCTCCCTCCCCTTCCTCTTTCACATCGGAAGCCCTCGACGTTTCTCCATTTCTTGATTTACAGCAACCAGTAAAATGTGACAGTGTACTAGAACCGTCCTCCATGAAGAATTGTCATCAGTCCTCTTTGAGTGAATACATGTTCTTGGCATTTTCATCTCTATCTTCTTCTCCTTCTTCGTTCTTCTTATGGAAAGCAATTGGCTATTTTTCCCTCATTCCTGTAACTAGAAGCAACGTGTCACATTCCTGAGAATGGCTCGTTTTCTAAAACGGGCATCGATCAGTCCATTCTTCTCCCTTTTTGTGTACATTATATCATCATGGAAGATGCAGCTTTGGTGTGGGTGACTTGGCTTTGTTCTTTCTGAGAGGGAGAAGGCAATGTAGTGTTCATGTGGACTTGTGCACGACAATAGATTTATTTACTTGTATCCTCTAATCCAGCAACCGTTTTCCACGTTATACTACTTGAGAAGCTGCTACAGATCGTGAGGAATTTTCCTGGTGATGAATTCACTCTTCGACGGAAGTTCACAATCGACTTGGAGTTCTTAGATTTGAAGGTACCCTGTAAATTTACCGGTCACCCTGTGCCATTTTTTTCTCTGCAAGTTTCTTTTCTTAAAGATATGCAATGTGTCCAATTTTTTTGAACAAAGTACGTATTATTCTTGGCCCATTAGAAATGTTGTCGATGATGAATTTCGTTGACAATCCAACTGGTAAGGAGGAAGTTCAGTAGGTTTGAAAATTTGTGAAGATCCATATGATCCTTTTTCATACATGCTCGCCCCAATGATGTTTGCTCCAATTTCAATCTAATTTATAGATATATATATATTCATAGAACTTCTCTCGGTGTTTAGGATTGAAATATGATCATCAATCGCTAATCGGGTTCTGCTCCTCTTTTCTTTCTTCTTCTTTCCGTAAAACCAAGGTAGAGAGGCATCTTCAATTTGGCACTTTGAGCAATTGATGCAGTCTCTAGTGACAAAGTCCACACACTTGTGCCTCTCTCACATGATGGAAGAGGATATCCAGTCAAACATCAACATGAACATGGCCAGCAGCAAGTTGTGTGCACACAAGGCCCTCTTGATGGTGAGCTCACCTATCTTGAATTTTTTTAAAAAATTGAATGAAATAAAAATCATGGGTTGCCTCCCATGCATCATTGAATTTAATCTCTTCAGCTGGCCAACACTTAGATCATATAAGATGATCTATGACCATCAATATATATTTTTATCCCAAGGTAAGTTTCATGATATTTTTTTTAGATTTAGTATAAATTCGTCTGCTTTATATAAATATACCTTGACATACCTTCTGGAAAAAAATAAAATAAAATAAATTCTCAAAAATAATATTTTCATTTTGAAAAGAACCTCTCCTCATTTTTATCCTATTTTGTAAGGCTCTCATTCAATAGTAAATACTTTCTATTAATACACTATAAAATGTGATCCGGTCATGTAATTTTCAAATTAGCACTTACTCAATCTAAAAATTTTTCATCTAAAATGATATTTTTAATTCTTCCACTCACCTATTTCTTAATGTATTCTTTTATCTGCATAATATTTCCTCGCTCTATTTTATCTTCTCAACATATTCGTTCAATTTGTGAGGAGTGAAATATTTCAAGCTTAAACATAATTCTAATGGGCTGTGGGTTTTGAAGGATGAAAGAATTGTCTTCTTTAATTTGAGATCTAATGAATTCATTAAAATTCAAATTTTTTTGCCTATTAGTTGAATCATATTCATTATTGTCTTTTTTACCATTAGTTGAATCAATTCTTTTTCTAGTTTTTCGTTTCTTAACTAATCAAATTCTTCATCTTTCCAAGAGTTGTCTACTAACTTCAGTATATGATATGCATCATCATCCTCACTATCAACTTCCATGGTTGTAAAATTCTAATTAGATTTATTAATTTCGTCTCTTACATCTCTCAAATCAATTGATGTTTCTTCACTTGAAACATATTTTTTTCTCATTTTTGTCCTTACTCTCTTCTACTAAAATTTAGATGATTTTTCCATGATCAACTATTGTTTCTTCATCTAAGGACTCTTTCTCCTCATCATCCTTACTATATTCATTCATCAATTGTGAGTAATAAATAATTTTATTCAAGTTTTCTGTTACTATATTTTCAGTCTTAATATTCTCATTTACTTCTAATGGCTCATCTATTTCTTCTAATAATTAAGAATATAGATCAGGTAAAATATTCTCACTTAATGTATTTATTATCCTAATATTTTTATTTTGTGAGTTTTTTTTAAATTTGTTTAGCTAGACTCCCTTACTGAAATCTTACTATTAGATAGTTTCCTGAATTTTTTGTGAGTTGACTAGGTGATTGTCCCTCTTCTCTCTTATTCTTAAAAGCCTCTATAAATTGTTTTTGCTGCAACATCATTTGTTTCATTGTTTGCTAAATCATTTGGCTCATTTGCTGCATCATATCTGTAAAATCAAGTTGGATTTTAGAAGACTGATTTTTCTGAAATCTATGTTCTTGTTTTGGACAAAATTCAGAATTTATATTGAGTCTAAGTGCTTCTGAATTTTGAATATTATTTAGATCTCTCTACAAAAAAATATTCCTTCAATTAAGATTATAAGAATTAGAAAAATATTCTCTATTTTTACTAAAATCATGGGGTACTTGCACTTGCTCTTACCTAGGCTGAAATGAGTGATCAAAATTATAACATTGAAATTCGAAATGGTCATTTTCATTATACATAGGACATGTACTATATGCATTAAATTGAAGGTTATGAGGCTTTTTAATATTGTCAATAAGTAAATCAAGTTTTCCTAATCTATAATTAATCTGATTAACCTCATTTTTTAAATTAGTATCATCATCATGATGTAATTCATAAATTCTTCTTTCCTTATCCCGTCATATAACTCAAAAAAGGCTTGATTTCTAGAATTTTTACTTAAATTCTCATAAATTCTATAAATCTCATCAAGGGTTTTCTCCAAAAAAGCTCTTCCACATATAGAGTCAACCATATTTCTATGTTGTTCTAATAATTTATCATAAAAAATTCTATTAATGTGCCACTTTGGTATAGCATGATGAGAATAGTTTGAGTAAATTTATAATTTTTTTTGATATTAGATGTAAAGATTTTTTGACTTTTGAGCAAAACTTCATTTATGTTTTCTCATATTTTGAGTTTTTTCTAAGGAAGAAAATTTTCAAAGAAAAGGTTTGTTCTGTCTTTCTAACTAGTTAATTCTCTATCTAATGTGGATAACCAATAACTAGTATTGTCCTTTAAGCTATGAGGAAATAATTTTATCTTAATAACTTTTGGTGTAACTTGAAAGAGATTAACTAAATCACAGACTATGTAATTTTTTTTAAAATGTTGATGGGGTTTTTCTAAAGGTAATCCATGAAAATTAGAGAGCATTTGGAAACTTTTTGAATTTATTTTGAATTTAACAATGGTTGCTCATGAGACTTTAATATTGGATGCTCATTGATATGAATCAGGGATGTTATAATTTTTTATGGCCATGGGATTATTATTAGTTTGACTTGTACTTCTTTCAGGATCTATCAAAATTAATTTTTCTTTCAAATTTTTAGTTTTGAACGAAATAGTGAAATGATTTTCTAACCTTAGATACAAGGATCTTCTACAATACATAAATATCAATAAATTACAAAAAAAATAATAATTGTTACCCTCCTTCAGTATGCTCTAGTCTTTGCCTTGCTGCTCTTCATTCTTTTAAAAAAAAAAATTATAAAAAAAGAAAATAAAACAAGAGTTAATATTTTTGTGTACTCTAAGAAAAAATAAAAAAAACTAAATATTATGTAATACATTGGCGTGACTTAGTCGTTGTATAGTAAATTATGCAAATTTAAAATTTATAAAACTAGAAAATAGAAATTTTTAGATATTTAGAAGTATTTCTAAACAAATATATTAATTATAATTCAATAAAACTTTCAAAATAGTGATAATTTTCCAAGTCGATTACAAGGATGTAATATAATATATGGTAATTATTTAAAATTTTGCTCAAAGAATACTATTTTCTATGAATTTTATACTAGCAAATGAAAAAAATATATTTAAAATTCACAAAAAAGGGAAATAAGGGTGCAGACATCAAGATGACATCAGCGCCCAGCGAAAGCAAATTAAGGTGAAAATAAAGTTCCGCTCGGTGATTCTTATGTAAGCGATTACAAACAATTTAATTGATCAAATTAAGATCTATAAAAGCCAAAAGAATCGTAATGAAATAAAGTATATCTTGGTAAATTTAAAATCAACAAATTATCACTAAATGAAACAGAAATTAAGTTGAAAGTAGGAAAACAGAGTTCTGATGTCGCGGTGGCGATGCATCGGTGATGCACCAGAATTTTGAGCATTTGGGAGGATAGTCGTGCAGAGTCTACGGCCTCAAAGGCTCTCCTTGGATAACGACGATGTGGGCAATCTCTAGATCTCTTTGCAAAGTCTAGAGATTAATGAAATGAGTCATTAAATCATCTCCAACAGCTGTCACCCGGTAGAGCGGAAAAATGACGACTTTGTGGCTCTCTGGCGGCTGTCACCCGACGGAGAGGAGCTGGATGGAGGTGGGGCACGTGTTAGAGAGCTTCATCCTCAGGTCCACATAGCAAGAGGAAGCTCTTCATCGCATCTGATACGCTCTCTGGAGGTGGTGACTCATCTGCTGACGGATTGTCCTCTTCCGGACGATGGCTTGTTCGTCGATCAATCAGAGATGCTTTACTTGATGGATTCACGATCCTTTTTTCACAAATCGTTCAACAATTTTAGTAACAATGCTCCACGAATTGTGTTGACAAAATTTTTGCCGATGATCCAGCGATTCTGGTTGCTTAATCTTTCACCGATGGCCGGTTGCCCACCCTTTTTGTAGAAGGTGATGCAGGTTTAGTCCCACATCACTTGTGCGCCAAATTATCGGGCGAATATATAGTAATGTTATATTTCAAAGTAAGTTCCTTCTGTCGCGTGTACGACCACTCTTTGCCCCACAACCGGCTGGCCACTAGTGACGTGGAAGGGGAGTGGTGCACACATGCCTCTATCGATCCAAGCTGCTTGAGCCCCTACTCGTGGCTACTCCCGGACTGCACTTTTGACCTGCTTGCGAGCCTGGCTGGCTGGCAGGTCCCCACCATTTTGTCTTCTTTTTATTTTTTATTTCGTTTTCTTCATTTATCTCAAAAGTAAGACTGTGAAAATCATATAAGTTCGTATAAAATCACATAATTACCCAAAAATTCATATTAATCAATTGAAAACAACTTTTCACACTTTAACACAAATATAAGTCTATTTATCATGAGTTAAGGCTAAAACTATATTATTTACTACTTATTAACTCATGATAATGAAGACTTATCAGTGGGTACCCCCTATTTTGTTATATTTTTATTTTTATTTCTTTTTCCTCATTCATCTCAAAAGTAAAACTATAAAAATCATATAAATTCATATAAAATTACATAATTACCCAAAAATTCACATTAATCAACTGAAAACCACTTTTCACACTTTAACACAAATATTAGTCTATTTATCATGAATTAACTTGAATCACAACCCCAAACTTAAATCATTGTTAGTCCCTTAGTAATAGAATTTGTTATAAGTCTTCATTATAATGAGTTAATAATTAATAAATAATATAGTTTTAGCCTTAACTCATGATAGATAGACTTATATTTGTGTTAAAGTGTGAAAAGTAGTTTTCAACTGATTAATGTGAATTTTTGGGTAATTATACGATTTTACACAAATTTATATGATTTTTATAATCTTACTTTTGAGATAAATGAAGAAAAAGAAATAAAAATAAAAATATTGCAAAATGGGGGGACCCGCCAGCTAGTCGGGCCCACAAGTGGGTCAAAAGCACAGTCGAGGAGTAGCCACGAGTAGGGGCTCGAGCAACTCTGATCGATAGAGGCATGTGTGCGCCATTCCCCTTCCACGTCACCGGTAGCTAACTAGCTATGAAGCAAGGAGTGGTCGTACACATGAGAGAAGAGACTTGCTTAGAAATGTAACATTACTATATATTCCCCCAAAAAATTGGTGCACAACTGATGTGGGGCTAAACCCACATCACACCTTCCTTATAAAGGTTAGGCAACTAGTGCGGGTTTGAATCATCCTAGAGCCAAAACTCATTTTTTTTCTCTAATTATCGCGACTTTTCTGAAGATCGCCGGTGAAGGATTAAGCAACCAGAATTGCTAGATCATCGGCGAAAATCTCATCAACATGATTCGCGGAGCATTGTTACTAAAATTGTTGAACGATTCGTGATAAAAAGATTGCAAATCCATCGAGTGAAGTATCTCCGATTGATCGACAAACAAGCCATCATCGAGAAGAGGACAATCTGTCGGGAGACAAGTCGCCACCTCTTGAGAGCATACCAAATACGACGAAGAGCCTCTTCTTGCTGCACAAACTTGAGGATGAAGCTCCCTAACATGTGCCCTGCCTCCATCTAGCTCCTCTCCGTTGAGTGACAGTCACCAAAGAGCCGCAAAGTTGTCATTTTTTAATTCTATCAAGTGATAGCTGCTAAAGACGATTCGACAACCCATTTCATTGATCTCTAGACTTCACAAGGAAATCTAGAGATTGCCCACGTCGTCTTTGTCAAAAGAGAGCCTTTGAGGCCGTGGACACTACATGACGATCCTCCCGAACACTCAGGATTCTAGTGCATCACCGACACATCACCGCTACGACGCTAGAACTCTATTTTCTTACTTTCAACTTACTTTATGCTTCATTTAGTGATAATTTGTGTGATTTTAATTTATCAAAATATATTTCATTCACTTATGATTCTTCTAGCTTTTACAGATCTAAATTTGATCAATTAAATCATTTGTAATCGCTTATGTAAGAATCACTAGGTGGAACTCTATTTTTGCCCGATTTGCATTCGCTAGGTGCTGACATCATCCTGATGTCTGCACCCTTATTTCCTTTTTTCATGAATTTTAAATATATTTTATTTTTATTTCTTAGTATAAAATTTATAGAAAATAATAATCTTTGAGAAAAATTCTGAATAATTACTAGCTATTATATTACATCCCTATAATCGACCTAGAAAATTACTACTATTTTTAGAAGCTTTATTAAATAAATTGATATATTTGTTCAGAAATACTTCTAAATATATGAAAATTCATATTTTCTAGTTTTATAAATTTTAGATTTGCGTGATTTAATATATAATGACTAAGTCACGTCAAATTTTGGCACTGTTGCCAGGGATGTATTGTATAATATTTACTATATTTCTATTTTTCTCTTAGAGTATACAAAAGAATTTAACTCTTATTTTATTTTCTTTTTGCTGATTTTTTTTTACAAAAAAGGGAACAAAGAGAAACAAGATAAGGACTGCATCATATTGAAGGAGGGTAACAATTACTAAACTTTTTCCTCAAATTTATTGATTTTTTGTATGCATGGTAGAAGATCCTTGCATCCAATGCTAGAAAATCCTTTCCTGATTTCATTCAAAACTAAAAATCTGAACGAAAAGTTAATTTTGATGGATCTTGAAGGAAGTACAAGTCAAATTGAGAACAATCCTATGGCCATGAAAAATTATTATATCCCTAATTCATTTCAAAGAGCATCCAATATTAGAGTCCTATTAGTACCTATTATTAAATTCGAAATAAATCCAAGAATTTTTCAAATGCTCCCTAATTTTTATGGATTACCTTTAGAAGAACCTCATCAGCACTTAGAAAAATTTCATATGGTCTGTGAGTTAGTTAATCTTCCTCAAGTCACACCAAAAATTATTAAGATGAAATTATTCCCTCATACACTAAGAGACAAAGCTAGTTATTGGCTATCCACATTAGATAGAGAATTAACTAGCTGGAAAGACATAGAATAGGCTTTTCTTCAAAAAGTTTATCCTTTAGGTAAAACTCAAAAATATGAGAAAATATATATGAAGTTTTTTTCAAAGACCAGGAGAAACTTTACATGAAACATGGGAAACATTCAAAGATTTATTTAGAAAGTGTCATCACCATGCTATACCCAAGTAGCAACTCAATAGAATCTTTTATGATGGATTATTAGAATAACATAGAAATATGGTTGATTCTATATGTGGAGGAGCTTTTATGGAAAAAACTCCTGATGAGATTTACAGTCTTTATGAAAATTTAAGTGAAAATTCTAGAGATCAAGCCTCTTTTGAATTACATGATAGGGATAAGAAGAGAGGAATTCATGAATTGCATCATGATGATGATTCTAAATTTAGAAATGAGGTTAATCAGATTAATCAAAGATTAGAAAAACTTTATTTACTTATTAAAAATATTAGAAAGCCTCTTAACCCTCAATTTAATTCAAATAGTACATGTCCTATGTATGGTGAAAATGATCATTTCGAATTTCAATATCATTATAGGCAAGAACAAGTGCAAGTACCCCACGATTTTAGTAAAAAATAGAAAATATTTTTCTAATTCTTATAATCCTAGTTGGTGGAATAATTTTTCGTAGAGAAACCCAAATAATATTCAAATTAGTTGATAGTGATGAAGAAATAACAGTTGCCCATGGAAAAATCATCCAAATTTTAGTAGAAGGGAGTAAGGACAAAAATGAAGAAAAACATCTTTCAAGTGAGGAAAAATCAGTTTATTTGAGAGATGTAGGAGACAAAATTAATAAATCTAATCATAATTTTGCAGCCATGGATGTTGATAGTGAGGATGATGATGTATATCATATATCGAAATTAAAAGATAGCTCTTGAGAAGATGAAGAATTTGATGACTTGAGAAATGAAAAGCTAGATTAAAGAAGACAATTTTGGAGGAGAAATAAAAATAATCAATATGAATATAGAGATAATTTTAGAGGAGAAAATTTGAATTTGACTGAATTTATTACATCTGAGATTAAAGAAGACAATCCTTCCATCCTTCAAAACCCACAACCCATTAGAATTATTTCTTAGCTTGAAATATTTCACTCCTCACAAATTGAACAATTATGTATGGAAGATAAAATGGAGCAGAGGAAGATTATGCAGATAAAAGAACACATTAAAAAATGGGTGAGTGAAAGAATTAGAGATATCAATTTAGATGAAAAAATTCTAGATTAGGTAAGAGCTAATTTAAAAATTATATGGCCTAATCACATTTTATGGTCTATTAATAGAAAGTATTTATTAATGAATGAAAGCCTTACAAAATAAGATAGAAATGAGGAAAGATTAATTTCAAAATGGAAATATTATTTTTGGGAAAATTTTGTTAATTTTCATTTTGTTTTGGCTGAAAGTATGTCAAGGTATATATATGAAGTATATGAATTTATGCAAAATCTAAAAAAGAATATCATGAAACTTACCTTGGGATACAAATATATTTTGATGGCCATAGATCATCTTATATGATCTAAGAGCTGTCTACCTGAAGACATTAAATTCAGCATTGCATGGGAGGCAACCCATGGTTTTTATTTCATTCTATTTGATTTCTTTTAAGCTCTATTTTTCATAGAATTTTGTAGTACTTGTTTTTGTATTTGTTTTTTCGAAAAAGTGCACGAGGAGTGTAAGATGAAGTGAAAAATTAAAAATAAGTTTGAGGTGATGTATTTCTGAGCTTTATCATTTATTACAATACATTTAATACTTAACTTTGCACATATGCATACTTCACTTGAAAATTATATTTTTTGTGTATTTTATTTCAATTTTTCTGTGTCATTAAGGACAATATCATTTTTAAGTTAGGGGGTGAAGTATTAATTATTAATTTATACTGTAGGACGATTAAGAACATGTGTTTGGATTTTATTCGACTTAGAACTACAACTAAAATAAAATAAAATTTAGAAAAACTACAACATCTATTTTCAGGTCTTCTATCAAGAACAACAAACTATCAAAAATAGTAGACAAAAATAGCCCAAAATTTGAAATTCTAGTGACCTGACATGACTTAGTTGTTGTATATTAAATCACGCAAATCTAAACTTTATAAAACTAAAAAATATAATTTTTTGGATATTTAGAAGTATTTCTAAATAAATATACCAATTATAATTTAATAAAACTTCC